GAATAGAGAAATCTCTTACTCTTCCTAGCCTAGTAAGAAACAATCTAGAAAAGGATCTCTTCATTGCACATTGCAACACACTCATTCTATTGCTATCCTTACTGGATTCAACTCTTTTATCTCTTGATCCGCAACTGAAGCTTGGGTTTGACAGAAATGATCCATGGAGATTGATCTTCTCATCTGTTGTTGATAACCTTCTTCTCTAATACGAATCACGGCATCTCTTCCTCGCACGTTGCCTAGATCGCTGAAAGCACGTGACGACGGAGTCTTTGGAAACCCACCATCTCTTTGTGAATCTTGTTCATCAGCTAGATTTTCATTTGCTGATGGTTGTTCATTGCCCGGAAGAGTTTCCGTCACCGGAGGTGATTCTGAAGCAGTAATAAAGACTATATTAGCTCGACACAAAGGGCAATTCGAGTGAGACTTGAGCCATGTATCAATGCAGGGGAGATGGAAAGCATGGCTGCATTTAGGCAACAGCCTTAAACTCTCATCATCTTGGAACTCGTTGAGGCAGACCGAGCAATCCGTCTCTTGGATGAAACCATCACCCTTCTTGTATCTGAAAGCCGTGATGGACTTTATCAAAGCCTCGTCCAATCCGGTAGTCGAAATCTGCCACGGCTCATGTGCATAAGGATCGTGATCGTCTTCCATTATATCATCAGTCTCATGATTACTCTCTCTTCTACTAGTGGAGTCCGCGTTCCCACAATATTTAGATACTATCGTGTAGTAACTTACTAGCAGAAAAGCAGCGGCTAAAATGCCAATGATGGCGACCACAAGAGAGGAGAAATTTCGGCCTGAATCACTATCGGCAGTGAATTCGATCGGAGGCGGTGGAGGGAAGATGATGTAGCACCATTGTGGACAATACAAGCTACAAAGACCCTGAGAACAGTCCTTGGTTTTCATATATGGTAATGGTACCCAGGTTGTTGGGTTACCAATAGACTCCATAGCAAAATCAATAACAATCGAAATGGAAATAGCCCTTTAGATCATATGGATGTATCAGTAAAGAAGTATAGCATATAGCAAGATGCGAAAGAGCAAAATATAATGAAAAGAAGTGTATAAGCAAAATTTGTTGAAGAAACGAAGAAAGGGGTGGAAAAGCAGGTCAAGTCTAAAGGGTTGGAGAGCAAAGCAAGACAGTTACTAATGGGTTTCTTTTCTTATGTGTGAGGATAATGATGTGTTGTTGGTTGGGAAAATCGATGCTTTTTTCATTGTCTTAGGCAGTAGCAGTTGAAGTGAATGTTATCAACCCAAAGTCTTAAATCGTCGAATGAGCCGTCGGATTAGGTGGGAATATTTCTTGAGACACTAGACAAAATTATCCTAAGCAATATCAAACTTAATAGAGTAAATTATGAATTTCATTGCTCAAGTTTAATTTTTTTAATTTACTTATTAAAATTTTGATTTACTCCCATTTTAGTCACTTAGACGTTGAATCGTAAATGGAAGGGTGACATGGTAGCCATGTGTGCTGATGTGGATTGTTTTTATTGACATGAAATTCGTATGTCGTCTATGTCATTTTCTCTTTTGTTTCTTTCATTTTTTTATTTTATTTCCTTCCTTCAAAGATGTAAGTTTTTTACAGTTTCGTCACTGTGTCGCGTTAGCGCTTCAATTACTGTTCTTTGGCATTTTTTTCTTCCACTTAATATATCGACGAACTTGTCTCATTGGCTCCTATCACTCTATCAATTTATTATACCTAAAATCGCTTTAAAACTCAAAAAACTCAACCCTAAACCTAAAACTCATAAAACCCCAAATCACTCCGATATATATATTCACAATCCGATAATCATGGAATCAAGATACACAACTCGCTTTCTCCTTCTCCACCTCTCCACCATTGGAATTTGGAAGATGGTTTTTCAACGAAAAATCAAAGGGAATTCAAAACTAAGGGGTTTTCACACACAAATGAAGATAGTTTTGGAGTTATTTCATAAATTTTAAAAGAAAAATATTCATGGCAAAGTAACCAAAATAAAAGCACATCGAAAGTCAACGAGTAAATTAAAAAAGTTCAAACTTCGGTGACTAAAATAGGAGCGAGAAAAAGTTGAATGATGAAATTTATAATTTACTCAACTTGGTATGCTCTATTCTCACTTCTAAATTCATCAAATTGTAGCAGTGAGGGAGCTCAGAAAATGGAATGAAAATTTGACTTTAGATGAGCATTTATTCCCCCACATCACACAATCCAATTCCCACCTTTTTCCTTGCCATTGAAGCAAAGGGTCTTTGATTGCCTTAACTACAAGATTAAGTGCAAGTAAAAAGAAAGAAAGAACTCAAGCAACACCAAGAATGTTTAATTCACAACAACAACAACAACTATTTTCCAGGTCCATTATATAAGACATGAAGTGACTTTCTTTACAAGGTAAAGTTTGTTGTCGAGACCCAAAGAAAATACGGTAAAATCTTGTCAATGAATTAGGTTGTTTCTCTAGTCAATAAAGAAGCTTTTCTCTTCTTTTCATTTCTACCCCTTTTTTTAGTGCTTCGTGCCCAGTTCTTGTTGACAAAATCATTTTCTTAATAATTTGCCCTTTGAAGGCCATAATTGCTCAAATCATTTTCTTGGGGAACCAAAGAAAAGAGAAGATGGAATGTCTGCGAAGTGCTAACTGAAGTCTAAGCACTCTGCATTAGTAGTCTGTAAAAGCAGCAGCAAGGAGTTGAAATTAATTAATAATGTGTAGCAGCATAAGATCCCAATTAACAAGGAGAAAAAGTAGTTTAATCTAATCATATGGAATCATTTGAAAAGCAAAAGATCATTATGTGCTTAAATGATTTCTTATAAACCTGAAATGGTAACAAGAACAATACTACCAAGAATAACAGATACAATACTGAATTAGAATATAGATGACCTTTTTAAGGAGTATATTTATCATGATTATGTTCCACAACCCAAATAGTCAAAAGTGATATTAAGTGCATTCCTCGTCAGATTTGCAGCCAAGGAGAAGGCAAGAAGTATTGTTAAAGGAGCCGATGTAGAGGTGCAAACTCAATAGTTTTGATTTGGAGGGATTAATATAAAATTTAAGAAGTGTGTTAATTGAATTATGATTTATGTTATCATCTCTGTCCAGTTATTTCATACAATATTTACCAGTGACCACTGTGTTGGCCTGTAAAACTGTCTGTGAAATGGTTGGAAAAACCAAAAATGATTAGAAATAGAATGTCTGAGCCCGGGTTCGAACCGGGGACCTCTAGTGTGTGAGACTAGCGTGATAACCAACTACACCACCCAGACTTGTTTGAAAGGAAATGGCAATTGATATGGATGTACATAAATTATCTTGGTCTGTTATAATAATGTTAAGTGATATTAGGTGCATCCCTGATCAAATTTGCATCCAGCCACGAAGCTAGAATTATTGCTAAAGGAAGATTATTTTTTTAGAAGTTAGATAAAATTTAAAATTTTGGGGTCAAAGTAAACAAAATATGATAACTTAAATCCTCTACTCTTGGATATATATATATTCAAAGAGTTAAATATAATTTTATCATTTTGGGTGATCATTTTGTAACTTTCAATAGTTGGGGGACCATTTGTATACTTTACCTTAAATATAAATATATAAAAAATTTAATGCCCATGCCATTATTTTTTTCTTTTGTTTTCTCCTCCCATTTCTCTCTTATTTTTTCTTTTCAACTAAAAAAATTTAAGTTTGGTGTTAAAAGAGTAATCTTTATTGCTCTAGACATTACTTGTGTAGGTAAGCATCTTCCTAACCTCCTTATTAGCTTGAAGCAAAGTTAAAGAACACATTCAATGTTGATAGTGAGCAAAACGATGGTTAAGGAAAGGGAAAGTATTTTCATCTCGTTTTATGTTATTAAAATCGTTCCTTTTATTATTTATATCAATATGGTGATTATGAATATTCTTTTGTTGATATGGTTAGCAAGAGAAGTATGAGAATCCTTTCAAGCCAAAAAGAAAAAAATAATTGATTGAGGATTATCTAAGGAGCCCTTATTTACTAAAGATTAAGGTAGTATACTACAAACTTTAAAATACTTAACTATTTACGTAGTTATTAGGGGTGAGTAAAATTCAACTTGATTCGAAAAAAATCTATATTTTCATCTCGATTCTAATTGACTCGACTCAAAAAATTTAAAATTCAAGTCAAGTGATAAAATAGAACTCGAATAACTCAAAATCTTTAGTAACTAGTGGATTGATTTTCAAGCTTGGGTCGAGTCCCTCAACTTTGTATGATATATATATATATATATATATATATATATAGAAAACTGTTTAAATTAGAATCAAATAGTACCATAATGTTATAAATATTTACAAATAAATTTAAATATAAACTCATAAAGCTCGACTTGACTAAAAAAATTCAAATAAAGTTTGAGTTATAAAATAATACTTGTCAATTCGAATAACTCGATATTTTTTTACTTGACTCGACTCGATAAAACACTCACCCCTAAGAGCTATTATGTTGCTTGAATTATCTAATGGATGCTTTAAGTTGCTTAATATGAAAAATGATGTCTTAATATTTTGTTGTGTGTAAAACATGCCTAAATATATTATTATGCCTATATGATATGTTTGACCGAGTATACTTATTGATAGGATGAGTTAGAGGCTTTTTTGGTGTATTGTCGTGAAAAATATATAGAAAGAAAAAAGATGTGCTAAAAGAACCTAACATATTACATACTATGTATCGATAATAATACTAAAAGAAAACTCCATATAGAAGCCACAATTTTTGCTAAACCTTTGGCTAATTTAGTTGGATTATCCAAAACTTGTTAAACATTCTTCTAATTTTAGAAGATTTTAGTTAAATTTTTGTAGCAAATAGTAAGTGAGAACTTCATTCAAGGACTCAATATTTGCTATAAATTCTCAGCCTAAACACTCTTCAATTCACCCAACCTCCCTTGGCTTCTCTTAATTTCTCTTATTAATTTATTTTACTGTTTAGTTACCTTAGTTATTTTGGTGAAGATGACGGCTACCGTTACAGTCACTCATGCCAAGGGGGACAAGGTGCAGCCTGATGCTAATAAATTGGCATCGAATCAAGAATTTGCAGTGCCTAAAAACAATGCTTTTGGAAACTCATTCAGGTAAATCATTTCTTAAACATATAGTCGGTTAAGCAATTTGTTATGATGGAAGTAGGATAATAACTAATGTAAAACGATCGTAAAAGAAAGGACATCAAGATTTAAGGTGAAAAACCCTAATGAGAAAAATCATTTCTTAAACTAGAATTAATTTGTGGCTCATTTAATTCAAGTCAAACTCTATCATCATGTCTTGGATGTATAATTTGTGTCTTGCATGGCAGGAATTACGAAGCAGAAAGTGAAAGGAATTCCAAAGTGGAGGAGTTCTACAAAAACAGCCATATTAACCAAACATATGATTACGTGAGGAATATCTTTTAATATACATAATCAATTTGGTAGTTTTTGATGATGATTTTGATCGACATGTTAATGCAAACAAATGCAGGTGATGAAGATGAGGGAAGAATACAAGAAGCTTAATAGGGCAGAAATGGGGATATGGGAATGTTGCGAGCTTCTCAATGAGGTTGTCGATGACAGTGACCCTGACTTGGATGAACCCCAAATCCAACATTTGTTGCAGAGTGCTGAAGCAATCAGAAAAGACTATCCTAATGAAGACTGGTTGCATTTGACTGCACTCATTCATGGTAAAAAAACCCCTTACATTAATCTTTTACCACATTTTGAACAAAATATTAAGTGGTTTTAATGGTAAAAAATAATATTATTCTCTCTTGATGATCGGATTTCGAACAACATTTATAGGATGTAATAAAAATTACCTTATAATCACTATATTTTCTCAACCATTTTTTCGTTTTTGTACTTGGCTTAATTACTTTCCAATACATTTTAGATCTTGGAAAGATCCTTATTCTTCCAAAATTTGGGGGGCTACCTCAGTGGGCTGTTGTTGGTAAGTATAATATTTGTTTTGAATTCACAAATTAAAAAAAAACCCATGTTTTTTATATAATTTTAACTGACAAATTAATTTCAATATAACAGGTGACACATTCCCTGTTGGATGTCGATTTGATGAGTCCAATGTTCATTACAAGGTTTTTAAAATCTTATTTCTGTTATATCTTTACTTAATTTGAGATTACGATATTTTAATGGTAAAACATAATACATACAAAATTTTTGAATTGCAGTATTTCAAGGACAACCCGGACTTCAACAATCCCAAATACAACCCCAAATATGGGATATACAAGGAAGGGTGTGGACTAGACAATGTGCTAATGTCATGGGGTCATGATGACTACATGTACATGGTGGCCAAGGAAAATGGAACCACATTGCCTCATGCAGGATTGTTCATCATCAGATACCATTCCTTTTACCGTAAGAATTTACAAAGAAAAGATTACAGATGTTAGAGAATTTTGGGTGATGATATGGGCTTCATTTCCTTGTTTACCTTACAGCATTGCACAAGCATGGAGCTTATGCACAGTTCATGAATGAGGAGGATAAGGCCACCATGGAATGGCTTCAGATATTCAAGTGATTATCCCATTCCTCGTTCAGTTTCTTATGTAATAAACTTGTGCAATCGTTTCGTAAAAGATTAACGTATTGATTTGCCTCAAAAAATGTTGGCAGCAAATATGATCTGTACAGTAAGAGCAAAGTTAGGGTAGATGCTGAAAAGGTCAAACCTTATTATGAATCCTTGATTAAGAAGGTAAGTTCATCATCTTCCCTTGTTTTATTCCTCAATTGCAATCATTCTTCAAAAGTTGAATAATTATTTCACTTTCTGAATGGAAAACATTGCAGTACTTCCCAGAAAAGCTGAAGTGGTGAAGTTTTGAAAAAGAGCATGAAGAAAGGGACTGCTGGCTATAGGCTGCAAATATCATAGTCCTGTATGTTAAATCTATATATACCAGTTTGACTTTACATAAACTAATCTGAAGTCATACTTTGACATTAACTTCATTTGGCTGCCCATGAACACTGATGTGCAAGAGTGAAATAATTCACATTAATTAGAACTGAATTGTGGCCAAAGAATTTGTAGCCGCAGAAAAGAATGTTAAGCATAAAATAATGGGGGCGGGAAATGGGCATAACCCTTGAGATCGTCCCACCTAATTTGCTTCCGGTGAGACAATTTATGGGGATGGAGGACACTCTTGACGGATAGTTCTGCTCACGTATCAGCACTACTAATCCAATAATATCCCAATTGTCTGAACAAAAACTAAAGGCCAAAACTCATCCAAATCCAGAATCAAACACAAATCACAGTTCCTCATAATCATATACAATCCCAAAGGAGCTCTCATTTACAGAGGGAGGCCAGGTCCCTCCACAGGGATGGACTAAAGAAGATTTGTCTAAAAATTTTAAATTATCATATATTTTTTCTATTTTTATTAATTTATTTTCATTTCTTAAAATTTTATAAATTTATTTCCTCCTAAAATTTTAGAAGTTTATCCTATAACATAAAATTTTACTTCCATGTCTATTCCTCCAAATTGAGTTTCATAACTGCTAATTGAAAATAAATGTGAGACACTGTGGGATAGAGATGAGGGGTTGTATCACAAAATTTTGAACTTCCATTGCCATTTCGTAAAGGGGTCTAAATCTAACATCAGTACATCACTATGTTAACGTGTATCTTAGCGGCCGTTCTTATCCATTTATAACATAAATAAGGGGTAAACTTCATTTTTGGTTACTCAACCTTACATTTAATTATGTTTTGGTCATTTAACTTTAAATTCTTTTGATTTGATTATCCAATTTTTAATTTTATTTTTTTCACTTAACTATTAAATGTATAAAGTCATTTAAAATTTTCTAGATAAATTTATACTAAAAAGTAATTTGATTTTTTTTCTAAACTCAAATTTCTGGACTCTCTTTGATTCAAATAAGTTATTATATATTTTTTTCTTTGGACTCCCTTTGATTCAACGAAGTTATTTTATTTTTCTTTTAACTCAAAAAGATGTGGAGGTGGAGAGGGAGAAAAGAGAATTGATTTTAGTTACACAATGATAAAACTGTAGAGATTGTAAATCAGATCAAAATTTAAATTTGAGTTTTATAAATTTTGAGGAGATTTTGAGAAAAACAAAATTAGGAAGAAGAAAGATGGAAGAAAGATGGAAGAAAGGGAAACATCTTTATATAAGTTACATCATAAATGATGACCGATGATAAAAGAAAATAGGATAAAGTATACAAATGGTCCCTCGATTATAGGACGCTGCTTTGTTGGGTTCTTTAACTATTAAAAGTTACAAAATGATCATTTGATTATAGGGAGTTACTTTGTTGAGTCTCCAAGTTGCTTTGTTGAGTTCTTCAACTATTAAAAGTTACAAAATGATCCTCTTATTATAGGGAGTTACTTTGTTGAGTCTCCGACTATTTAAAGTTACAAAATAGTCATCTTACTATTCAAATGTTCCAAACTCGTCCTTCTAGGTTAAAAAATTGACATTCGTTTGAGCTAGACGTTAATCTACTGACTGAGATATGATAAAATTATATTTTAAAGATGTATAATGGCACTGCCATTGTTTTTAAGTACTAACTTGACATCATAATGTTTTAAACACTAACTTGAGGACATAATGCAAATGGAGACTCGATCCAAAAAATACACCTGAAATAGTTTCGGGATCAGATTCTATCATATCTCAGTTAGCAGGTTAACGTCCAGCTTAGAATATTGTCAATTTTTTTAACAGAAAAAGACGGGTTTGGAATATATGTATAGTCATGTGACCATTTCGTAACTTTTAATAGTCAAAGGACTCAAAAAAGCAATGCCCTCTAGTCAGGGATCATTTTATAACTTTTAACAGTTGAATGACTCAACAAAACATTAACCTATAGTCCAAGTACTATTTGTGTATTTTTACCAAAAAAAAAGAAGAGAGTAATCAAAACAACACAAACCAAGTTTAAAATAATTAAAGTTTGAATAATGAAAACATAAAAGTAAAGATAAGTGATTGAATGTCTAGTTTACCGAATATATATATATAAAGAAAACCCTTCTTTTACATGGATGGAGACCTACAATCTCATTCATTGGTTGTCCTCAGAGGGAAATAAATGAAAGATTATGCATTTGGTACGCAAATAGAAAGTGTGGCAAGCATCTGACTTTGCTTCAAATCTTGGTCGATCCTAATCTCGTGTACGGGTCGGTAAGCGATGCCTTTGTGATACGTCGCATTACACTTACTTTGATTTTCGGTAGGTTAGTAAATTAAATAGAATTAATAATCATATCTTTCGATTTTATGTAAGTAGATTGTTCGAACTTTGTCGACTGTTTTGTTTAAAATTTTTGTTAGTATAGGGTGATTGATTTGAAAAATTTACTGTAGACTCTAATGAAAAGAGACGTTTATATGGAGATTCGGAGGAGGAGAATCGAGAATCTCCGAAGACGATCTTCAATGATATTGTAGAGACTAATCTTCGACCTTGAAGACTCCATCTTCCAACCGCAACAAAACGTCCCTGATTTCTCGCCATTCTCATCCAACAGCAGCCGCATTCCCCTGTCAACAAAGCCCCGTTTTTTCGGTTAGTTTCCTCGGCAACAACCAACACCCACATCATCAACAAACAAGCAAGTGGTACAACATCATTAGAAGTCTAAAATCAAACGGAACTAGGCTTCCAGACATTATAAATAGGCATGCTTGTAAACGCAACAGAGAAAAAAGGTGGAACCAAAATCAGAGGAAATGGCAACGATTTGAAAAAACCGAGGGTGGGAAAAGGAATCCCGAAGAAATCGAAATATCCGAGCATGAGAAGAGAAGTTTACGAAAGAAGAATCAAAGCATTAAAACGGCGAACAAACCTTTAAACTCCGAGCAAGCTAGCGTCCGACGGAGGATATCTATGTTTGAAGAAGGCAAAGACGTGATCGCTCAAGCTAGAAGAGGCACCTAAAAAAAACCTTTGCATGTCTTCTCCCTTTGCATCAGAAGAAGGTCCCGGTTTGCTCAGGCGGTTTCATTCTGGTTCAAGGTCCGTCTTTACTTGGTCAGTTGAAGATTCTGCAGTTATCTAGCGGCATTCCAGATTCTGATTTATTTATTGGTTTGTTTTCGAAAACTTTTCTATTGTGGCGTGGTCTAATCTTTTTTAGCACATAATACTGCCTTTGAAACCTCGCAAATCCAATTGAAAATTTAACTTGTCCTTTACAGGCAATGATGACATGGTATGGTATCGTCAAATCTTCCCTTGAATCGTGTGACAACTTTAATAATCTCCATGATCCTTGCCCTCCTAACCCCTTTAAATATATTATAAGTGGAACCCACAAGCTAATAACCCATTTGTTTGAGTAAATTGACGTGTTTTCCATTTAAATATTGTGTTTTCCTTTTAAATATGTTTGTGTAAATTGAAGTGTTTGGATTTCTAAGGGTTAATCCTTGTTTAGTCATGCCATCTTTCAGCATCATTCATTTTGGTCCTTTTTATTTATTTATTTATTTTATTTATTTTTATTATTTTTTAATAACTTTTATTTATCTTTGTTATCTATTTTATTTTATTATTATTATTATATTAATATTTTTTCTCTTTTTTTATATTTATTTATATTTATTTTTCAATTTAACAATATTTTTGACTTTAGGGATACTTTTCAACTAATCAAAGGTAAGTAATTTGAATCGAACGTTTTTTAAATTTTAATTTTAATTTCAAATTTTCGCAATTAAGATAGTCGACAAATTAATTGGTACCGAAAGGGCGGTTCAAGGGTACTAATCCTTCATTGACCGTAACCGACTCCCGAACCCAACACATTTCTGATAAAACGCAGATCAGATAAGATGGTGTCCGATCAACCTAAAATTATTTTTAAATGATCGGTGGCGACTCTAACCCAATTCATTCACGTCGAAGTCCAATTCCGGGTCCAACCGAAAGACGGTCGCGACTGCTTGGCAACTTTGTTGGGGACAGATAAGTGAGTCAGGCCGAAATTAATTTTTGGTTGTCTTTTTGAGCGAAAATTACAAGTTTAAATTTTAATTTATTTATTTGATTCTAATTATTTACCTTTAATTATTTTTCAAATAAATAGTTGTATTGACATTTTTTTAATGATTTTAGATTTTTGAAAAGTTTCTATCTCTGGCTCTATACCCGAGCTCCGAGCCCTTTTTAAGTGGGGTGAAAGCGACACTCTCGTGAGAATTTATTCTCCGTATGGGCCTAACAAGTAACCTTCGGGATTCATATACCTAATGCTTTCGTGGGAATTTATTCTCCGTATGGGCATAAGGGAATGTTTCCTCTTGAGTTTAACTTAGTTCACACAAGCTTGTAATGGCTTAAGACTAAAGGTCTGGCAAGCCCAAGGGGGCACCAGCATGGAGAACTCTGGTACCCTTTTTTAGAACCTAAATCGGGAGACTATATGGAATTATAGCTCACCCCGAAACTTCATTTCAAACCCTAGGCTATTTTGAGTTCATTTCCTGCCTTATTTTATGTTCAAAGCATATGAACTATAAATTTATGCGGTTAGGACTTGTTCAAAGTCAACTTGCGGGATAAAGATCATGTCTGGGTAGGAATACTAAGCATGTGGGGTAGATATTATGTGGGGTAAGACTTTTCATTTTTATTATTGTTTTGATTTACCTCACTAACTCTTTTCATTTTTGTTCTATTTCATTTCTATCATTTGCATCATTCAAATGAGGTGTTGATCTACAAAAAACGTGTTCGTTAAACGTAAATAATTTGTATTAATGGATAAAGGGGTTATTAGACAATAGATGAAAAGCTCATAAGTCCAGCTATGGTCAGAGAATAATCAGAATGGACCGAGATTTACACTGTGTACACCGAAAGTTAACTTT